AAATGGCGAAAAACAAGACAAAAATTCAAAAGTGTCAGTTACTTGTGTACAATTTTTATCCTTTTTGTTTAAATTAATTGAAGGTCCATTTTTTTTTTTTCAATAGCTACAACATTTAACTATTGAAAAAAGTCGGAAATTTTAAAATTATGCGCTTAGGAATTTTTAGGAGCAAAAAAGTCCCGAAAAACGGTTTGTTCTAAATAAATCAATATTTTTAGGGTGTTAAAAATATTTCAAACACTGTTATGTACTATATTCGACCCAATAAACCCAATTCTACTATGTCACTTTAAAAGTTCCAAATCAGTGCCGCACTGTGTTATTCTCAGCGACATATTCGACCCTACTACTGGAGCGACAATTTGTATACCCGGTACTCATAGAGTACAAGGGTACGTTGTAGTTGTGTAAGTTTATGTATCATAGAGACCCCGACGCCATAAAGTGTATATATTTTTGATTAGCATCAACAGCCGAGTCGATTTAGCCATGTCCGTCTGTCCGTCCGTTAGTCTGTCCTAATGAAGGCGTGGATTTCAGAGTTTCAGTTTAAGTATGTTTCAAATTTTTGCCACGTCCCCTCCCGCCACCACAAATTGCAAAATTTTTGTAGCGCCAGTACTGGAAGGTTTTTTTTTAAAAACTTTTAATGCCAAGCTATTTCTATAGTTAATATATATCTAAAAACAAATTTCATCCAAATCGGCAGATTTTTGGAGGAGATTCGCATACATGAGAGCTATTTTTGGCAAAATAATACGACATGCTAAATGGGGGGGCCCATAGCCTAGTGGGTAGTGTAGCTGAACGCTAAGCGTTGGGTCGTGGGTTCGAACCCCACTCATGGCAATCATGACCTCCAAAGTTTTTCGGCTTCATTATGCTTAGTGGTCTCTTTTCCGATGCTACTAAACATGTGAGGTCGAAAAACGGTATTCCCAGATATCGACAGGTGGCAGCTCCACCTCTGGGATAGGTAGGTTGCACCTGGCTAATCACCAGATCAACCGAATAACAATTGATTAACGAAACTAATACAAGAAGAGAAGAAACCAACCACCCCCCCAACCCGTTGACGACCATTCGCATATCGAAACGGACACGAATTGGACAATGGAACGTGAGGACTTTAATGGAACCAACCAGACTGGCGCAGTTTGAAGGAGAAATGGAGAAAATGCAGATCGCAATCGCAGGCATCAGTGAGATGAGATGGAGAGGCAACGGGACAACAACAACATCAAGCGGCAATCTAGTGATGCACAGCGGGACCAATGATGGAGGCAGGAGCGGAGTCGGGATATATGTGTCCAAACAGTACAAACAGACACTAATTTCCTGGAGCCCAGTATCCGACAGAATCATCATTGCCAGATTCCGATGCAATGCTAGACACATCACCATCGTGCAGTGCTATGCCCAACAGAAGACGCCAGCGATGACATCAAAGACGACTTCTACAACGCCCTCACATCCTCACTTACTAGGATCGAAAGAGGTGACATAAAAATTCTTATGGGAGACTTCAATGCGAAAATCGGACCCAACAACAACGGATTGGAAACAACCATGGGCCGACATGGTGTTGGCACACGCAGCAATAATGGTGACAGGCTAATCGACTTATGTCAGACCTTCCAACTGGTTATTGGTGGCACTGTATTCTCCCACAAGGAAATCCATAAATACACATGGACCTCTCTGAATGGACATACTCGCAACCAAATCGACCACATGATCGACCCGCCTCCCCTTAACGTACAACGGCTGAGTGACTCCAACCTATCCACCAGAATGGCCACAACGTTGCGTGAACAGATGACAATACAACCGTTGAATCACTCATGGGAACAAACATGCTGTATACTGAGGAGCACCGCGGAGGAGATGCTTGGCACCCGACAACGCAGGCGCACGAAATGTATATCAGCGCACACTTGGGAACTTATCAGCAAACGGAACAGCCTAAAGTCGAAAGCAGATCATGACTGCAGAGCGCGCGACGAACATAAAGAGCTATGCAAGTTGGTGAAGAAATCAGCAAGAAACGACAAAAGAAAATTTCTGGAAAGGCTCGCTGAAAATGCAGAAAGCGCAGCCAACACGAACAACATACGCTCATTTTACCAGATAATTAGTCATCTGACCGGAAGCTGCCATAGGCGAACCCAACCAGTGCGGGACCCAGATGGAAGACTCCTTACTGATGATGAGGCACAACTTCAGAGATGCCGACAGCACTTTATGGAGATCAGCTGCACAGAACAACCGAGCAGCACGCAAGAAATATAACGATTAATCTCTAAAAATAAATTCAACTTAATAAGTTCAGTGAACTATTTATTTCCTATTTATAAATTTAATCGTTTAAAGTTTTCTCTGTTGCGATTTAACTATATTCTCAAACATAAGTCTCTCAATAACATATGTCCAACATCGTTGCACATTTCTTTTGTAACGTCGTCTCTTACATCCGATCTGATCGTCCCCTCTCGGCTACAGAGTGCTTCAGAGAGCCTAAATTCTTTACACGCTACTACAGTGGTCTGCAACCCGTCAAAAATGAGACTTATTCGCACAGCAAATATATGTGAATTTGGTGGATCCATCACGGGAGACTCATACCTGTCTTATTGGCTCTGCAACAACTGCTCACATATTAAATGTGCTGGAGGAGGAAACAATGGATGGATAAGTGACCTTATCAACAAGAAAATTGGCCTGACGTGGTCTTGCATCGCTTGTAGAGAAATTAAGTCAGAGATGCGGACTTTTATAAAACAGTCGAGAAATGGTTTCCTAGATGTTCGCAAGCAATTATCGGCCCTTAATGAGCAATTCCTCACTCTTGAAACTCAATTCCTTGGGCTAAAGTTGTTAAGCGAATCCCCCAGACGAAAAATTCCGAACAACAACCTGCTGACTGCTAAATTATTGAATACCCCTACATCGCATGCTGTACAAGTCGATGAATTTTCAATGGAGATCAATTATGGAATTTTCAATTATGGAGATCAGCTGCACAGAACAACCGAGCAGCACGCAAGATAAGTTCAGGAGTATTGTACCGAGCAATAACCTCAGAATATCACCCACGGCACCATTAATTAGAGAAATAAAGGATGCAATCAGGAAATTAAAACGCGATAAAGCGGCTGGAGATGACGGCATACCGGCCGAACTTCTCCAGATTAACACGCAATTAATGGCCGAAACATTTCAATCATATATGGGAAAGTGAGCGATCCCAACATTCTGGAAAAAAGGAATCATCATTAAGCTACCGAAGAAAGGAGACCTCAGTGACTGCAACAACTGGCGAGGCATTACCCTGTTGAACACAAGTTACAAGGTACTAGCCACTCTACTAAACGAACGTCTTCAGGAAAAAATAGAGCCAACAATACGAGATGAACAAGGAGGTTTCAGACCACACAGGAGCTGCGTAGACCAGGCAAACACACTACGTGCAATAACCGAACAAACTGTGGAATGGCGCTCGCCGCTGTACCTCCTGTTCATAGATTTCCAGAAGGCATTCGATTCGGTAGACAGAGCAGCGATATGGGGGGCACTTGCAAGAAAGGGAGTGCCAGTGAAAATCATAAACATAGTGAAAGCTATGTATGATGATGCTGAGCTGGCGGTACTGCACAACGGGAAATTAATGCACCCTTCCAGACGAACACAGGCGTCAAGCAAGGATGTCCTATATCACCACTTCTGTTCAACTTGGTAGTCGACGAAATTATGAGAGAAGTATGCATGAACAGACGCGGAATCACCTGGAACTTCACCCGACATCTAGAAGACTTGGATTACGCGGGTGACATATTTCTCTTGGCTCACAAATTCGAAGACATTCAAGCCAAAGCTAGGAACCTCGCGATCCGAGCCAGCGCAGTAGGCTTAAAGATCAACGCATCAAAAACGAAAGCTATGCGGATCAACAACTCCAACACAAACAACATCAAAATCGGAGATAATACCATCGACTTCGTGGACAGCTTCACCTACCTCGGTACTATCATAACATCAAATGGTGGAGTGACAAGTGATGTGGAGAACCGACTGCGCAAAGCGAGGTGTGCATTTGGAAGATACACCGAGTATGAAGAAACCAGCAGATAAACAGAAAAACAAAGCTGCGCATATTCAACTCGTGTGTAAAATCCATACTGCTATACGGATCGGAGACGTGGCTGACCACTCAAAGGATATTGATGAAGTTGCAGGCTTACATCAATAAGTGCCTAAGAATAATACTTGGGGTATTCTGGCCAGATAGAATATCCAATGAGGACTTATGGCACTGCACAGGAGAGGTCCCAATCCAGGAACAAATAAAGAAACGGAAATGGAAATGGATTGGCCACGCTCTGAGGAAGGAACCAGGAAGCATCGTAAGGATGGCTCTGGAATGGAACCCACAAGGAAGCAGAAGAGTGGATCGCCCAAAAATGACCTGGCGCCGTACAGCACTCCTAGAAATATCCCGGAAGAACATCAGCTGGGACACAATAAAGCAAACAGCGGCAAATAAAGTTAGGTGGAGACCCCTTGTAGAGGCCCTTAACTCCCGAGAGGAGTAATAAGGAAAAAAAAAAAAATTTCGTAAGGATCGGCCAACTATATCCTATAGCTGCCATATAACGGAACGATCGGAAATGGTTTTTGGTGGAAATACAAACTTTGGTATTTTTGATGATAGAAGTTTGTGTTTTTTTTTATTTATTGTAATTAATTGGTTTTATTATGTTATTCTCATAAGGATCGGACAACTATATCTGATGTTTGCGATATATATGCGGTTTTAACTACAAGGGTATATCAACTTCGGCTCTGCCCGAAGTTAGCTTTCCTTTCTTGTTTTAATATGAACACGTGTATTTGGAGGCTGGCATAACCAGCATTGTAATTGGTAAATAATAGTTGAGTATTTATTAACTTACACTTCACTTCCTAAGTAACCTTTATTTTTTTCTTTTCTTTAACAGCATCGGGAAATTTTAGAACGATTGGAAGAAGCAGAAACTGCTAATAATCACTTACTTAAGCGGCTGGACAAATTAAAAAATGCTAAGAGTGCAATTTTAAAGGATTTATAAACTTAATAAGCACAGTTCAAATGGCACAATGATTCAACCGTTGACATCACAAGAACCTTCTCATCAAGAATTGAAACGTCGCGATTAAATAATATTGACCCTTGTTTTAAAATGTGTGTGTTTTGAATACTCTGATGCCTAAATCGAAGTACCATAAAAATAAAAGATTTTGAAGCGCTATTTGCAAAAATTTTTTTAGGCAAATGTGTACATAATTACCAACCGCTTTTTCTCCCAAAATATCAATTTGATCTATTTACTAAGATATCGGCCTGTTAATTACAACGTAAGCGAAAAAAGGAAAATTTTACAGGAGAGGGTTTTTATCTTTATTTTCGCGGCCTCTTAGGCCGCTTAGATAAACGCTTAGGTTATAATTGTAAATAATAAGGTTGAAATTGGGTTATAATTCTAATTTAGCTTATTTCATGTAAAATTTTTTTATTTTTTACAGAGGTGTCTGGAAAAAAAATTAAGTGAAGCGCAGTTAAATTGATATTTTTGAGCTTGATTACACTGTGTAGGACTTTCCACGCCACGTAATACTTTAACAAAACAATATTTTTTACAAATGTCTTTCATTTTGTCCAAAAGTGTGAAACGCAGTGAAGGAGTCAACTCCTACCCTCTAAAGTATTTATATTCTTGATCAGGATCACCTCCTAAGTCGACATGAGCATGTCCGTCTGTCTGTTTCTACGTAAACTAGTCTCTCAGTTTTGATGTTATCGACTTGAAACTTAGCACACACCCCTCCTTTGCACGCAGTATAAAAATCGGAACGGCCGACTATATCCTATAGCTGCCATATAACTGAACAATCGGAAATGACCCAACATTCGTATTTTTAATGATAGAAACCTGGAACTTTGTACAGATTTTATTTTTGGTCAGTTGATCAAAAGTCAGTTGATCGACATGAAAAATTTCATAACGGTCGGCCGACTATATCTTATAGTTGCCATATAACTGAAAGATCGGAAATGGTAGTTGGCACAAATACCAACTTTGGTGTACTTGAAGATAGAAGCTTGGGAGTCATTTTTTATTTTGTAATGAATCCCTTGGGTAAGGGATATGAAACGATGCGCCCCGTTGGAACCATGTTCCGCCGGATACCGACACTCAAGCTAGTCTGTTCTAGACATGGTTTATATCCTCGGTTAAGGATGGATGCCTACCTATAAAACCGGCACCCGGTTGCATAACGCAATTCACGTCGAACCACAGCCACCACGTTGCTCCCTTAGGGGCTCAACCATAGCCAGGTCGGAACAAGTTGCGTGGTCTCTGCCTCTCGTGGTACCAGAAATTATCACAACCTCCGGTCAGGCGCCGCGCCAACAAGGAAACTACCCATTTTGATTCCGGAACAGTCACGGGTAGGTGACCGATACTTTTGACGTAGCTTCTTGGAATAGCATTTTGAAACGGCCGAAGCCAAGTCATAAGATGTAACAGTCTTATCCATCATGCTCATGGGCATGGCTTTCTCACTGCGAAGAGGCGAGGACTTTTCCTTCCTCTTCCGCAACTCGCGGCGTTCGAAGACGGCCAGCTATGTTCCCAACAATCCTTAAGGACTTGTGACAAGGCGGAGTTGAGCACCAATTCCCTAGATCCTCATCACCCGTGGTACCAGAAAAGTCCTCTGGTCAGGTTCGTGCAACTAAAACAGCACTCCTAGTTTCAGCTACAATGAAGCTCGGGGACTGATCACCACCCCGGCGGTGGGTGAAAATCCGGCAAACCCTACAAGCACCTATTCACTCTTTCCTGATTCACACACCCTAACACCCCTCGGCATCCAACACTTCGCGAGTGTTGTGGTATATTTGGAGGCGAATTAATAATTTGTCTAAATTCAATTCCAAGCATAGCACAGCTCTGCTTCTTCCCCGTCTTATCTCTATTTCTACATTTTTCCTTTGCACTCTCCAAAGCTCCCGCTTCGGCTTCCTATTTGGCACAGTGGTTCAAGGTATAGTGTTTTTTAACTTTTTATATTTTTTAATTTTGTTTTATCAATTAAAAATATGGAATTTAAACTGGTCTGTGCTATGAAGTCTTGTAACAAGACAATTTCCTCATCCCAGCCTACCATCCATTGCTGGCTATGTGAAAACGTCGTGCACGCCAAGTGTGCCGGGTTCACTGCCTCAGTCTCGGGTGCCATTTCCCGTAGGTCTGGTATTCATTATTGTTGTGAAAACTGTCGTGCTGTCCAAGGCGATATGAGGTCGTTAGAACCTAAGCGTTAGAAATCCGCTGTTTCTAATCCGCCTCAGCCTGCTCAGCCGACATTAATGCAGCCGCACATATCTCTGGCCACCCCAAGGGCTACAACTGAGAACAATTCGTCCGAATTTCTAAGGGAAAATGAGCAATTGTCCGATATGTCCGCCATGGCATCCCTTCAAGTGATGCCACAGGTCCTAGAAACCCCCGTTAGAGTCACCCAAAAGGGTATTCCACAGTCCGGACCACCGGCACCGACTGATGTTGCAGTTCTCGTACCTGCAACACCAAAACCCTTACAGGTGATTCCTCCATCGAAACATATATTTGTTTCTCGGCTTGCCCCTGATACTTCAGAGATTGATATCTCGGCTTATATCAAAGCTAAAACAAAAGCCGATATAAAGGTGGAGGACATAGCTAAATTTAAATATAATTATATACGGCGCACGTCTTCTTTCAAGATTCGTGTGCCCGCGCTGATGTTCAAGACGATTCGTTCACCCAGTTTTTGGCCAGAGAATATTTTCGTCCAAGTTGATTCCTCATTTCGGTAGACTCCACTCTTGCTTCTGAAGAGGTGAAATCCCAAGAGTTTGGTGACATTGAGTTTGTTTTGCATTAAAATAATTTTGTCCGAGAAATCTTTATACATTACATGTTCGTATATACAGCCTTCGTCTGAACCGCCCACATATTGGCACCTTTTTTCCACTATTCAATCAATTTTTAATCTTATGACTGATCGTGACCAGCTCGTCGCTGTTGGCGACATTAATATACCAGAATTAAAGTGAACCAACGTCGATAACTCACCATCTTTGTCACTTATCACTCACCATGACTTCACCGCGGGCATGCTTGACATGTCCCTAGGTTAAATTAACCATGTTAGAATATCGTTAGTTCGGCTTTTAGACTTATGTTTCGTATCTGATCCGGATGGTACCACTCTCTCCAGAGATTCCCTTATTTCAATCCCTGAAGATCCATATCACCCTACGCTTGAGGTTTCAATTGAAACCATTTTTGGTATTGATCAGGAGTTTCCTTGCGTGGCAATTAGGAATTAGCTTTACGGAAACTGCCGTAAAGCTGATTTTCACAAACTTAATAGCCTTATCGATACATATGATTGATCCGATATTCCGGCATGCACCGATCTAAATGTCACTTTAGAAAAATTGTTCCGTACTTTAAAGAAATTTTTTGACTCCTGTGTGCCATAAAAATATACGTCCGCTTCAACAAGTCCTCCTTGGTTTACAAGGTGCCTTATGAACTTAAAAAATACAAAAAATAGGCTCTTACTTAAATATAAAAAAAACCTGCATTTGTATAGATTTTTCAAGATGTCAAGATTTTTCAAAATGGAAATTCCCATGCGCGTTACTTTCTGAACCCATAAGTCCATTGTACAATATTGGATTAAAGAAAATCCAACACTTTGGAAGACTTCCGTATCCAACCGAATTGGCAAGGTTTTGGAACTAAATACGACAGCCCAATGGAGAAATGTACCTTCGGGAGGAACCCCACCTGATTGCGCCTCAAGGAGTCTTAAGACTACGGAAAGTCAAGAATATGTGGTCTTAGAACACCTTCTCCCAGACCCCTGATCAAAATCAAGAAGAAAGAAGGCAACCGACCAACGATAAATCACATGTTCAGTTGATAACTCGCTAATCACCTCTTATTTATGAAATAAAAAATTTTTACTCGTTATGGTTTACGTCCGAAGGTATGTGCATAAACTTACGCCACCCACTAGGATTTTGTTTTGTGAGCGCAAATCTAGTAGCAGAATAACGAGAAGCTTTCCACCAAGGATGGTGCAAAACGAAGCCTTTCCTCCAGAGATCAGCCGAGTCCAAGCAGAAAAATCGTTAAACCGGCCACAGCGCCCTGAACGGTCTGTGCCCGTTTTTAGACAATTTTGGGATTATACGAATCAAACTAAAAAAAAAGTTAGGGGACTAAAAAACGCCCAACAACTGTCCCAAGAAGGGACAACCCGATTGATGTACTTAAAACGCATCATTTTACCGACCTTATGACACACACCTGAATACCTTTCATGGAGATCCCGAGCTAAGCAACAATCCTTCATACATTCTGGATAGTCAATGGAAAATAAGCAGTACAAAAAATTCTACAACAATGTGTCCAATGCTTTAAACATCGCCCAAAGCCTGCCTCAAAGTTAATGAACGATAAGTCACTACTTCGCGGCAGCCCCCCTGGTCGAGCCGTTGAAGCCACAGGCGTCAACTACTCTAGCGCCTTTTACTTGAAGGCCACTAGATTTCGTCGGCATCAAACGGCCTATATCGCAGTGTTCATATGTTTAAAAGAACAAGGCGATGTATTTAGAACAGTGGTCGGCACTCAATACTTCAATGAGATTTTAATGTCTTAGTATTAGTAATGAATAGTACAAAGTAGGCTGTAAGCATGACGTTTCATACGTTTATATCGTGTGTGTGGCAGAGCTCGGGCAGAGAAATTTCCTATGCCTCTGGAATAGGGCCCTGCCGACCACTGATCTAGAAGCAGTCACAGGACTATCTACTCAACTATTAACGCTGCTTCCCCAGATCAAATTATGTTTAAGCTGACGTCCACTGTGTCTCTTATCAGCATATCCAAACGATCTATCTCCACTTACTTCCGAAAACTTCCTCATAGGATAACTATAATTGGCCTTCTCTTTGAGACAAGTCACTTAACGCACGCTTCGTCGATGGTCAACGGGTACTGAGACAATTCTTGCACTGCCTATAGCGCAGACTGGCTGTCATATCGCAGGACCATCCGAAAAAACACCAAACCTGCATATCGATAACTTAGTGGTGATTAAGGATGACCGGATTCCTCCAAACGAATGGGAGATGTGTAGTATTTACATCCTGGACAAGATGAACTAGTTCGCATCACTTCCA